CTGATTGCTGCATAATATTCCATGGTGTATATGTGCCACATTTTTCCAATCCAGTCTATCATCAATGGGCATTTGGGTTGATTTCAGGTCTTTGCTATTGTAAACAGTGCTGCGATGAACATTCGTGTACATGTGTCCTTATAGTAGAACGATTTATAGTCCTTTGGATATATACCCAGTAATGGGATTGCAGGGTCAAATGGAATTTCTATTTCTAAGGCCTTGAGGAATCGCCACACTGTCTTCCACAATGGTTAAACTAATTTACACTCCCACCAACAGTGTAAAAGTGTTCCTTTTTCTCCACATCCTCTCCAGCATCTGTTGTCTCCAGATTTTTTAATGATTGCCATTCTAACTGGCGTGAGATGGTATCTCAATGTGGTTTTGATTTGCATCTCTCTGATGACCAGTGATGATGAGCATTTTTTCATATGATTGTTGGCCTCATATATGTCTTCTTTCGTAAAGTGTCTGTTCATATCCTTTGCCCACTTTTGAATGGGCTTGTTTGTTTTTTTCCTGTAAATCTGTTTGAGTTCTTTGTAAATTCTGAATATCAGTCCGTTGTCAGATGGGGAAACTGCAAAAATGTTTTCCCATTCTGTTGGTTGCCGATTCACTCTAGTGACTGTTTCTTTTGCTATGCAGAAGCTGTGGAGTTTCATTAGGTCCCATTTGTCTATTTTGGCTTTTGTTGCCAATGCTTTTGGTGTTTTGTTCATGAAGTCCTTGCCTACTCCTATGTCCTGGATAGTTTTGCCTAGATTTCCTTCTAGGGTTTTTATTGTGCCAGGTCTTATGTTTAAGTCTTTAATCCATCTGGAGTTAATATCCATGATGAACATAGATGCAAAAATCTTCAATAAAATATTGGCAAGCCAATTGCAACAGCAAATCAAAAAACTTATTCATCATGATCAAGTAGGATTCATCCTGGGGATGCAAGGCTGGTTCAACATACGCAAGTCTATAAACGTAATTCACCACATAAACAGAACAAAAAACAAAAACCACATGATTATCTCAATTGACACAGAGAAGGCATTTGACAAAATTCAACAGCCCTTTATGCTAAAAACCCTCAATAAACTCGATATCGATGGAATGTATCTCAAAGTAATAAAAGCTATTTATGACAAACCAACAGCCAATATCATACTGAATGGGCAAAAACTGGAAGCATTCCCTTTGAAATCCGGCACTAGACAAGGATGCCCTCTTTCACCACTCCTATTCAATATAGTACTGGAAGTTTTAGCCAGAACAATCAGGCAAGAAAAGGAAATAAAGGGTATTCAAATAGGAAAGGTGGAAGCCAAATTGTCTCTATTTGCAGACGACATGATAGTATACCTAGAAGACCCCATCGCCTCAGCCCAAAAACTCCTGATACTGATAAGCAACTTCAGCAATGTCTCAGGATATAAAATCAATGTGCAAAAATCACAAGCATTCATCTACACCAATAACAGACTTAAAGAAAGCCAAATCAAGAACGAACTGCCATTCACAATTGCTACAAAAAGAATAAAATACCTTGGAATACAACTCACAAGGAATGTAAGGGACCTCTTCAAGGAGAACTACAAACCACTGCTCAATGAAATCAGAGAGGACACAAACAGATGGAGAAACATTCCATGTTAATGGTTAGGAAGAATTAATATCGTGAAAATGGCTATACTGCCCAAAGTAATTTACAGAATCAACGCTATCCCCATCAAGCTACCATTGACTTTCTTCACAGAACTGGAAAAAACCACCATGAACTTCATATGGAACCAAAAGAGAGCCCGCATAGCCAAGTCAATTCTAAGCAAAAAGAAACAGCGGGGGGCATCACACTACCGGATTTCAAACTATACTACAAGGCTACAGTAATCAAAACAGCATGGTACTGGTACCAAAACAGAGATATAGACCAATGGAACAAAACAGAGGCACCGGAGACAACACAGCATATCTACAACCATACAATCTTTGATAAACCTGACAAAAACAAGCAATGGGGAAAGGATTCCCTGTTTAACAAATGGTGTTGGGAAAACTGGCTAGCCATGTGCAGAAAGCAGAAACTGGACCCCTTCCTGACACCTTACACTAAAATCAACATTCTTAAAGAAAAAAAATCTTCAATCCTGAATTTTATATCCAGCCAAACTAAGCTTCATAAACAAATGAGAGATAAAATTTTTTACAGACAAGCAAATGCTGAGAGATTTTGTCACCACCAGGCCTGCCTTATGAGAGCTCCTGAAGGAAGCACTAAGTATAGCAAGGAAAAATTGGTACCAGCCACTGCAAAAACATACTAAATTGAAAACACCATCGACACTATAAAGAAACTGCATCAACTAATGTACAAAATAATCAGCTAGCATCATAATGACATAATGTACATAATAATCAGCTAGGATCAAATTCACACATGACAATATTAACCTTAAATGTAAATGGACTAAATGCCCCAATTAAGAGACACAGACTGGCAAATTGGATAAAGAGTCAAGACTTGGCCAGGCGCGGTGGCTCACGCCTGTAATCCAAGCACTTTGGAGGCCAAGGAGGGCAGATCACCTGAGGTCAGGAGTTCAAGACCAGCCTGACATACATAGGCTCAAAATAAAGGGATGGAGGAAGATTTACCAAGAAAACGGAAAGAAAAAAAAAATCAGGGATTGCAATCCTAGTCTTTGATAAAACAGACTTTAAGCCAACAAAGATCAAAAGAGACAAAGAAGGGCATTACATAATGGTAAAGGGATCAATGCAACAAGAAGAGCTAACTATCCTAAATGTATATGCACCCAATGCAGGAGCACCCAGATTTATAAAACAAGTTCTTAGAGACCTACAAAGAGACTTAGACTCCTACCCAATAATAGTGGGAGACTTTAACACCCCACTGTCAATAATAGACAGAACCAAGACAGAAGATTAACAAGGATATCCAGGACTTGAACTCAGCTCTGGACCAAGTGGCCTGAATAGACATCTACAGAACTCTTCACCCCAAATCAACAGAATATACATTCTTCTCAGCACCACATAGCATGTATTCTAAAACTGGCCATAAATTGAACATAAAACACTCCTCAGCAAATGCAAAAGAATGAAAATCATAACAGTCTCTCAGACCACAGTGCAATCAAATTGGATCTCAGGATTAAAAAAATCACTCAAAACCACACAGCTATATGGAAACTGAACAATCTGCTTCTGAATGACTACTAGGTAAATAATAAAATGAATGCAGAAATAAATGTACTGCTTCTTTGACCTAACCTAACATTCAGTTACCTTAATGTGTCAATGCACAGTGAGTTACACTCTTCATGCCTTTCTTCCTTGGTTTTTCCAGTATGGACTGAAATTGCCTCTCCTCTCATTGGAAACTTTCAGGTTCTGATTAGGCACACTCTCCTCATTACACCATACTTGTAATAGTCTGGTCAGTTCTCTATTTTCAAAATGAATTATAGGCCCCATCACCAGTATGGAATTCATTTCTTGGAGAATTAGGCAATTTTTGCTCTGAGTCAATGGAGACTATCCTGGAACCCATGATTTTCTGAGGAGAACATGTCTGATTTCATGTCTGCTTGCCCCTGGATGACACTCATTTTATTGGAATAAGCTACAGAGTCCTACATGCAGAAATTTACAGATGCAACACTGTTCCTAGCAAACTATGAATGACATTCTTCACAGAATTAGAAGAAAAACTATTTTAAAATTCACATGGAACCAAAAGAGAGCCAAATAACTGAGGCAATTTTAAGCAAAAAGAACAAAGCTAGAGGCATCACATTACCCAACTTCAAACTATACTACAAGGCTACAGTAACCAAAACAGCATAGTTTTGCTATGAAAACAGATGCATAGACCAATGGAACAGAATGGAGAGCTCAGAAGTAAGGCCACGCCTCTACAACCATTTGATCTTTGACAAAGCTGACCAAATAAGCAATGGAAAAAATGACTTTCTTTCTTTTTTCTTTTTCTTAAGACAGGGTTTCACCATGTTGGTCAGGCTGGTCTTGAACTCCTGACCTCAGGTGATCTGCCTGCCTCAGCCTCCCAGAGTGCTGGGATTATAGGCATGAGCCATCGCATCGGCCAAAAAAATGACTTTCTATTAAAGAAATGGTACTGGGAGAACTGGCTAGCCATATGCAGACTATTGAAACTGGACCCCTTCTTTACACCACATAGAACAATCAACTCAAGGTAGATTAAAGACTTAAATGTAAAACTCAAAACTATGAACACCCTGGAAGACAACCTAGGCAACACCATGCAGGACATAGGCATGAGCAAAGATTTCATGATAAAGATGTCAAAGGCAATCACAAAAAAAGCAAAAATTGACTAACAGAATCTAATTAAACTAAAGAGATTCTGCACAGTAAAGAAAACTATCAACAGAGTAAACAGACAGCCGACAGAATGGGAGAAAATATTTTCCAACTATGTATCTGAAGGTCTATAAGAAATTTCAGCAACTTTACAAGAAAGAAACCAACAAACCAATAAAAAAGTTGGCAAAGGGCTCGGCACAGTGGCTCACACCTGTAATTCCAGCACTTTGGGCAGCCAATGCTGGTGGATCACTTGAACCCAGGAATCTGTGAACAGGCCGGGTAACATGGCAAAAACCCATCTCAACTAAAAACAGAAAACATTAGTCTGGCATGGTGACATGTGCCTGTAGTCCCAGCTACTTAGGAAACTGAGCTGGAAGGATCACCTGAGCCCCGGAGCCAGAGGTTACGGTGAGCTGTGTTGGTGCCACACCACCCCAGGCTGAGTGTCAGAGTGAACATATAATAAAAGTTAAAAAAAAAATCAAAGAAAAAACAACCATTTCCCCTTTCTCCTGGAGTCTGCATGAGAAACAGTGTCTCTTAAACTTTGATTTAAATGAACACCAAGAGAAATGAGAGAGTGTAACTAGAGCTTAGGTGTGTGACAGTCAGATGATAGTGGCCCTCACCTGGCAGAGCCAAGCAGCCCAGTGTGGGGCAGGTTCATGCAGGAATGTTCTCTACTTCTCTGCCCAGATCCTCCTGAGGATCAATGTCAGTGTTCTCCTAGAAAGTTTAAAGGCAAAGAGAAGAATTACCTTTTAGGGCTAAGTGTCTTTCCCCTAAATATCCAACTTTTTTTTTTTGCCATTGTACAAATTGGAAAAATGTACACCTTCTGGGTAGATTCTGCATAGTGGAGAAAAGGCTTGAGAGGCATAGAGGGTGGCTTTACAATCACTACCCCTCACTCCATCATCCTATCCTTATCTATGCATTTCTCTGGCAACCCAATCCGCAGCCTGGTATCTCCCACTGTCATTTCTGCTGCATTACAGACACAGACCTGCAAATAGCTATGGTTGCTGGGAGGAGCATGGAATCTGGAATGAAGCCAGAGGGAAAGGCTGAAAGGGATCATTTAAATGCTGCAAGTCCGAGGTTTACTCAAAACACTGGACAGAAGACTGGACACAATTCTGAAGATCACCCAGAAAGCGAAGCCAATGTCATCTCTACCCGTGAGTTGAAAAGGCACAGCCTTCAATAATCTCAAGTCACACAAACTAAGAAAGAAACGGAAAATTGTATGGGATGAAAATATGAGCATTTCTACTGTGCATGCTTTACTGAGAGTTGTGGGTGTGTGGAAAAGAAACCCTGAGGCTGTGGTATCTGAGATGCTTGTGGGGTGTGGGGTGTGAGGTGTGGACTCTGGACCAGTGTAACCCTCTGTGAGCATGTGGTGGTGTCTGATGAGAATGAGATCTGCTGAGATGATGTGACTTTAGATGGAAGGTGGATGCCCCACCAGGATGAGATGTGTGAGTGAGTGTAAGGGAGTGAGTGTGTTTTGTCTTCCTGTCCGTGATGTGAGTGTATGTGTGTGAGCACAGCCAGACCAGTGCATGAGCACCTTTATGTGCACAGTGAGCAGGTGTGTGTGACTCAGTGAGCGGTGTGGCTCTGTGTGACTGTGCGTGTGTGTGCTAGAATTTGACTGTGTATTGAAGTGGGAACATGCATCTGGCTTTCCGTGCATGTGAAACTTCCTCTCCACACGGGAACACCTCTGATGAAGAATCTGTGTGTCTTTTTATGTGTGTCAATGTGGATCCCAGGTGGCTTAACTGGTGGGGCTCTTGGGGATTGTGAGTTACCAAGGACTCAGATCACTTATGAGAGCAAAATGTATGATCAGTAGATGTCTCTTCCCAGTAAGAGTGGGGACGATGAATGCAGAATATGGGGGCGATGGTTCCTGAGGTGGGGTCTGCACAAAGTGACCACTTGTTCTTGCTTCTGACTCAGCTTCCCTGTCCCCAGCCTATCCTGTTCTTCCCGTTGTGGGACGGGAGGATGTGCAAATGATGGTTTGCTAGGGAAGGACAGCAGAGGCAGTGCTTTCAGACCCCGAGTCATGCCAAATATCCACCATAACCTGTGTCCGAACTGAGACTCAACTTGTTTCTCCATCCATGAAGGAACAAATTTAGTCTCAGTTCAGACAGAGCTTACAGTGGATATCAGTCAACAAAGCAGCTGGGTTCACTGGCTCATGGCTATAATTCCACCAATTTGGGAGGCAAAGATAAGAGAATAACTTGAGGCCAGATGTTTTAAGACCCTTTCTTTAAAAAACTTTCAATATCAAACTGGTAGAGTGACAGGCACCTTTCATTCCAACTACTCAAGAGGGAGCAGGTGTGCGAGGATCACTGCCACCCAGGAGTTCGCGGTTTCAGTGAGCTATGATTGCACCACTGCATGTCAGCCTGGGCAAAAGAGCAAGACCCTATCTCAAAAATACAGAAAAATCTTCAACCACTTGTAGTCATCGTAGAAATCAATAATTTCCTCCAATTATGTCCCTGATCCACAGGCTTCATTTGTGCGAGTACTGGGGCTGTGCTCTCAGCAATGTGGCCCCTTCTGGGAAGGACGTCCATTACCCTTGCTGGTTGTGATGCATGTGCATCCCATACATAGGGATTTCCTATTTTTTTTTTTGAGACGGAGTTTCGCTCGTTACCCAGGCTGGAGTGCAATGGCAGGATCTTGGCTCACCGCAACCTCCGCCTCTTGGGTTCAAGCAATTCTCCTGCCTCAGCCTCCCAAGTAGCTGGGACTACAGGCGCGCACCACCATGCCCAGCTAATTTTTGTATTTTTAGTAGAGACGGGGTTTCACCTTGTTGACCAGGATGGTCTCGATCTCTTGACCTCGTGATCCACCTGCCTTGGCCTCCCAAAGTGTTGGGATTATAGGCGTGAGCCACCACACCCGGCCCTATTTTTTTTTTTTTTAATAATTTCCCTCTCTGTTTAAACAAGTGTTGTTTCTCACTGGAGTGAATTTTTAAACTCTTACATTATCAAGTCTTGTTTTTATTTTCAGAGTTGAAAATGTAGGTAGGTCAGTGTTTTAGGACTCCCCTAACAGGACCTACACATTCCAAGGATTAGGGTAAAAGTTTTACATATATTAACTCCTCTATTATGGAGAACATCCTAAAACATAGGAATTCCTGATAATCCTCCTTGTCCTAGGGAAACTGAGGCAGGGAGAGTTCAAGTAATGGATCTAAGATTGCACTGCTTGTAAGAGGCAGAATGAGTACTAGGCATCCTGGCTCTCTTACCTCTGGGTCCACCATATCTTCAGGAATATGGGCCCCTTACTGTGGAAGGGTGAAAGGGGGAGACCTCGGAGTCTGCCCTTTGATCTCTAAACTCCTGCACCATGGGAATCTGTTACAGGAGGGGAGGCTGCACCTGACCCTGCACCTCTCACTCACCCTCAATACCCTGGCAGGTGCCATACAAACTGCCTGTATCCTTGTCTATTGGTTCCTGCGTGATAATCAAAGGAACACCGATCCTCTCTTTTCTGTGAGTACTCCACGGTCCAATGGAGCGGGTGGAGAAGGGAGAATATTTGCTAAGGGCTTGATGTTATGTGTGAGTGATGTGGAAATGTCTAGCTGGCAGGATGGAGGCTTCATGCAGGTGCAGGTCCTGGAGACCCTCCAGCACCCAGCATGAGACCAGCAGCAATTGCATGTGGGCCAGCCATGGGGCCTAGGGGAGGAGAACACTCAGTGGGTTGGGGCTGTGGCTCTTCATCAGGGGTCATTGAATTTTCAGGGAATGAACAAGTCAGGCCTGGGTCAGTGACTGGCTCAGTTTCACCTGGGGATGAGGAGCAGAGCATCTCCCTGTCGGGGGTATGAGGAGCTGAAGCATCCCCACAGGGACCAGGCCTGCAGCATCATCAGGGAGACTTTTGCCCTGGGTAAAGGGGGAAAAGGATTTGTGTGTGTGTTGAGCGTGTGTTTGCGCAAGGGAGGGACCTGCCCAACCTGCTGTGTGCTTTGCCCTCAGCAATGACCCACAGCTGCAGGTGGATTTCCACACTGGAATGGATGAGGATTCAGAAATTGCCTTCCATTTCCGAGTGCACTTTGGCCATCGTATGGTCATGAACAGTCGTGAGTTTGGGATATGGAAGTTGGAAGAGAAATCATACTTCGTGCCCTTTGAGGATGGAGAACCATTTGAGCTGCGCATCTATGTGCGTCACAGTGAGTACGAGGTGAGCACCCCAGGAGCTCCCAGCACCCGGGCTCTGTGGGCTCCCAGAGCAGGAGGCAGCTGTCATTGACCTGGCCTCACCAGTCCCTAGGGGCCTGTCTTTCATAACCGCTCCTACCCCAGGTTTTCATCACAGAGCACACTCTGCTTGCACTGCCATCCTCAGCTCTTTCCCAAATCTGACCAAGGTCAAGGTCAGCTCACCTTCCATTTTCCCCAAAGTAGGGACTCTCCTCTGTTTTTTCACATGGTGTTCATTTCCACTTATGCCATTATTTAAATTTTCATTTAGCTGAGTGCATACAATATACTTAAGAAAAAATTGTTTTAATCAGTCAAAAATTAAGTCTTCATCTCACTTCTGGGCCCCAATTCTACTCATTAGAACAACATTACCAGAGCTCTGCTCTCCTTCAGAGAGACTTTCTTTTTTTTTTCACTTTATCATCCAGGTTGGAGTGCAATGGCGTGATCTCAGCTCACTGCAGCCTTCACCTGCTGGATTCAGGTGATTCTCTTGCCTTAGCCTCCCAAATAGCTGGGATTACAGGCACGTACCACCACACCTGGCTAATTTTTGTATTTTTAGTGGAGATGGGGTTTCACCATGTTGACTAGGCTGGTCTTGAACTCCTGACCTCAAGATATTCACCCAACTCGGCCTCCCAATATACTGGGATTACAGGCATGAGCCACCGTGCCCAGCCCTTCAGAGGAAATCTTTGCCTATGGAAGCGTATAGATATGTCTATGATTTCATTTGTTTTAAAGCAAATCCTGGTATAACTTACTCTACAGGTTACCATTTAGGAACTAAGTTGATTTGTTGTCAAAGAATGTATCTTAAAGACATTATCAAACCACTGTGCTGCTTCAGTTTTTAAAGATTGCAAAACATTGCATTAAGAAGTTTGCCCAAAATTATTAAACTTGACTCTTTTTTGGGCACTAAAGTTGTTTGCAACATTTTGCTCTCATGAGTGATGCTGTATTGAGTTTTCTAATCAATCCTTTTGTCATTACCAAACTCCCAATACTTATTTTGGAAGACAATTACAAAAAAATGAAAAATGGCTCAAAAATGTGTGCATTTTAAATTTGAAAAAATTAATATTAATAAAGTGACTTTATAGCCTCAAAATAAGGAATATGTCCATACTTTCTGGCTTTCTCTAATGAATATGGCAAATGATTCACATCTTATTCAGATTCAAGTGAGGGATCTTCTCCTATGCATTGAAGTTGTTGAACATAATATCCTACGCTTTACAAGACCTGTGCTTCTTTAACTCTCTAACAACACTGGGTTTTACTCTTTGCCAATAGCATCTCAGATGTAGGCTATTCCAAAGAGAAACGGTGCTATCAGTAGTAAAAGGCAGTCACAGTTCATGGAAATGAAAAGTATGCATTTCAATGAACATGGTTGAGTAGTAACTCTGTGGCAGGCCCTGTGCAAGATGCAGAGTCTCAAGTTCCTGAGACACAGTCCCTAGTGATGGGGATCATTCAGGTTAGAAGGGAGGCTGAGTTAACAGGGACTGTGTGACAGAGCATAGAACTTCACTAGAAGAACCAGAGAAAGCATTAGAAACAAAGTTGGCAACTGTCTCAAATAGGCACAAACGTCTTGGGTAAACAGAAGTGTGTCTACTAAGTTCACTTGCATAACTAGGAGTTTTCTTGGGGAAAGTTATGGGTACTAAGGCAGAGTGGAGAGGAGGCTGCAAGCTTGTTTGGTGGCCTTCTGTCTTTCTGATGCATTTTTTTCCTCCTGTAGGTAAAGGTAAATGGCCAACGCATTTACAGCTTTGTCCATCGACTCCCGCCATCATTTGTGAAGATGATGCAAGTGTGCAGAGATATCTTCCTCACCTCAGTGTGTGTCTGCAATTGAGAGAGATGATCACATGCCTCACTGTTGAGGAATCCCTTTTTCTACCTGACCATGGGATTCCTAGAGCCTTCTAACAGAATAATCCCTCTTTATCCCTTCCCCCACAGTTGGTTATTAAAAAAGCACCAAACCTCATATGCTTTGGTTCTTGCTTTAAGAGGGGGAAAGAGAAAGTGGTCATCCTCAAGAGGGGCCAGGGCATTTATGGGAGGCATCAAAAGAATCAAAGGGAATAAACCTTCTCATTCTACTACAAGGACACATGCACACGAATGTTCATTGCAGCACTGTTTACAATAGCAAAGACCTGGAACCAACCCAAATGCCCATCGATGATAGACTGGACTGGGAAAATGTGGCACATATACACCATGGAATATTATGTAGCAATAAAAAATGATGAGTTCGTGTCCTTTGTAGGGACATGGATGAATCTGGAGAACATCATTCTCAGCAAACTGACACGAGAACAGAAAATGAAATACTGCATGTTCTCACTCATAGGCGGGTGATGAACAATGAGAACACATGGACACAGGGAGGAGAGCAGTACACACTGGGGTCTGTTGGGGGGAATAGGGGAGGGACAGTGGGGGGGGAAACTGGGGAGGGATAGCATGGGGAGAAATGCCAGATGTGAGTGAAGGGGAGGAAGGCAGCAAATCACACTGCCACGTGTGTACCTATGCAACTATCTTGCATGTTCTGCACGTGTACCCCAAAACCTAAAATGCAATTAAAAAAACCTTCTTTTGACAAAGGAAGTCAGTGACAAGGTCCCTGGAATGTCTGAGAAGACATTAGAAACAGCATGCTTCTATAGCACGTACTTGACGTCATACAGTCTGAACCAAATTACTTACTCAATCTCAGATGACTCATGGCACTGAAATGTTAGTTAGCTGTTTACAGCCAGGAAAGTGTACCTGGTGACTCTGGGGAACCCTTGAGGAAAATTATTTGGAATTTCTTAATTTTTTCCATTGTTCTCAGGATGCTTATTGTGTATGAACACTGTGCCTGGCTTTGTGCGGGCTGCTGTGAAGGAACTGAAGAAAAAGATGACAAGTTTTGCATGTAAAGTTTTCAATCCAAGTAATAGAGAATCACTGGAGTCCAGTGACTTCCCTTGAAGAATTCCAGTTATCCTTATTTTCAGACATTTGAAGATGTTTCCATTTTAGGTGGGCAGAATCCAGGGGCTTCTCTTTGGAAACAACTGATCACCGCATCCACGCCAACATCTACAGTGTGTGTGTGTGTGTGTGTGTGTGTGTGTGTGTGTGTGTGTGTGTGTTTTAAATGATGGCTATTCTTGCAGGAGTGAGGTGGTATCACATTGTGGTTTTGATTTGCATTTCCCTAATTATTACTGATGTTGAGCTTTTTCTCTTTTTTTTGGCCATTTTTATATCTTGTTTTGAGAATTTTCTGTTCATGTTTTTAGCCCATTTTTTGATGGGATTTTTTTTTTCTTGCTTCATTTGAGCTCCTTGTAGATTCTGGATGGATCTTTTGTTGATGCAGTTTGTGAATACTTTTCCCACTGTGTGAGTGATATGCTTACTCTGCTGATCATTTCTTTTACTGTACAGAAGATTTTTAGTTTAATAGGGTCTCATTTATTTATTTTTGTTGCATCTGCTTTTGGGTTCTTAGTCATGAATTCTTTGCTTAAGCCAATATCTAGAAGAGTTTTTCCAGTGTTACCTTGTTGAATTTTAATGGCTTCACATCTTAGATTTAAGTCTTTGATCCACCTTGAGTTGATTTTTGTATAAGATGACAGATGAGAGTTCAGTTTCATTCTTCTACATGTGACTTGTCCGTGTTCCCAGCACTATTTACTGAGTATGGTTTTCTTCCCCCACTGATATGGTTTGGGTCTGTGTTCCTCCCAAATCTCACATCCAATTGCAATCCTCAATGCTGGAGGAGGGACCTGGTGGGAGGTGATTTGAACATGGGGGTGAATTTTCCCCTTGTATTTCTCATGATAGTCAGTCAGTCCTCAGGAGATCAGGTTGTTTAAAAGTGTAGCATCCCCTGATTTACTCTCTTCAGCCTGCTCCAGCCATGCCTGTAAGATATGCCAGCTTCTCCTTCACCTTCCACTATGTAAGTTTCCTGAGGCCTCCCCAGCCACACTACTTGTACAACCTGTGGAATCATGAACTAATTACACATCTTTTCTTTATAAATTACCCAGTTTCTGGAACTTCTTTATAACAGTGTGAGAATGAACTAATACCAAAAATTGGTACCAGGAGTAGAGCATTTCTAGGAAGATAACTGAAAATGAGGGACCAACTTTGGAACGGGGTAATGGGTAGAGGTTGGAACAGTTTGGAGGGCTAGAAGAAGTCCAGAAGATAAAATAAGGTTTTGAGCTTCCCAGAGACTTGTGGAATGGATGTGACCAAAATGCAGATAGTGACATGGACAGTGGAGTCCAGGCTGAGGCGGTCTCAGGTGGAGATGAAGAATCTGTTGGCAGCTGGAGTAAAGGTCGCTCTTGCTATACTTTAGCAAAGAGACTGATGGCATTTTTCTCCTGCTCTACAGATCTGTGGAACTTCAAACTTGAGAGAGGTCATTAATAGCATCTGGCAGAAGACATTTCTAAGCAGCAAAGCATTCAAGAGTAGCCTGCCAACTTCTAACAATGTATGGTCATGTGCATAAGCAAAGAGATAATATGAAGCTGGAACTTATATTTAAAAGGGAAGCAGAACATAAACGTTTGGAAAATTTGTAGCGGGATCATGTGGTAGAAAAGAAAAACTCATTTTCTGGGAAGGAATTCAAGTTTGCTGCAAACATTTGCATAAGTAAAGAGGAGACCCTCCCATCATGGCAGACCCTCCCATCATAGGCCCACAGGCCTAGGAAGAAAGAATGGTTCTGTAAGGTGGGCCCAGGGCCCTGCTGCATTGCACAATCTTGGGACACTTCTCCCTGCATCCTAGCTGCTCAAACTCTAGCCATGGCTAAAATGGTGCCAAATACGTCTCAGGCTGCTACTCTACAGGGTGCAAGCCATAAGTCTTGACAACTTCCACGTGTTGTTAAACCTACGGGTGCACTGAGGGCAAGAGCTGAGACTTGGGAGCCTCTGCCTAGATTTCAGATGATATATGAAAATGCCTGGATGTCCAGACACAAATCTGCTTCAGGGGCAGAGCCCTCATGGATAACCTCTACTACAGAAGTACATAGGGAAAATGTGGGGTTGAAGCCCAAACACAAGTCCCCACTAGGGAACTGACTAGTGGAGCTGTGACAAGAGAGCCACCATCCTCCAGACCCCAGAATTGTAGATCCACTGGCAGCTTGCATCATGTGCCTGGAAAAGCTGCAGGCACTCAATGCTAGCCTGTGAAAGCACTCGCAGGAGGTATACCTTGCAGAGCCACATGGGCAGAGATGCCTAAGGCCTTGAGAGCCCACTCTTCACATCGGTGTGGCCTGGATGTGAGACACGGATATTTTGGAGCTTTAAGATTTAATGACTACCCTGCTGGGTTTCAGATTTCAGAGGCCTGTAGCCCCTTCGTTTTGGCAGATTTTTTCCCTTGTGGAAAGGTAGTATTTACCCATTGCTTATACCTCCATTGTGTCTTGGAAGTAATTAACTTGTTTTGATTTTACAGGCTCTTAGGTTGAAGGGATTTGCTTTGTCTCAGATGAGACTTTTTGGACTTCAGGCATTTGAGTTAATGCTGAAATGAGTTAAGACTTTGGGGGACTGTTGGGAAGGCATGATTATATTTTGCAATGTGAGAAAGACATGAGACTTGGGAAGGGCCAAGGGTAAAATGAATGGTTTGGGTCTGTTTCCCTGTTTAAATGTCACATCAAATTGTAATCTTCAATGTTAGAGGAGGGGCCTGGAGGAAGATGATTGGATCATGAGGGTGATTTCCCCTTTGCTGTTCTTGTGACAGTGAGTGAATCCTCAAAGATCTGGTTGTTTAAAACTGTGTAGCACTTCCTTCTTTGCTCTTACTCCTACCATATAAGACGTGCCAGCAGCCTCTATGCCTTCTGCAATAATTGTAAGTTTCTTGAGGCCCCCCAACCATTCTTCCTATAAAGCCTGTGAAATTGTTGGATAATTAAGCCTCTTTTCTTAATAAATTATTCATTTTCAGGTATTTATAGGAGTGTGAGAATAGAATGACACACCCATTTTATGTTTTTGTATGCTGTGTTGAAGATTCATTGGCTGCATCTGGCTTTAATTCTAGCCTCTATATTCTCTCCATTGGTCCACGTGCCTACTTTTATACCAGTACCTGCTGCTTTGGTAACTATAGGTGTGTAGTCTAATTTGAGGTAGGGTAATGTGATACCTCCAGATTTGTTCTTTCTGCTTAGTTATTGCTTTGACTATTTGGGCTCCTTTTTGGTTTTGCATTAAATTTTAGGATTTTTTTTCTAGTTCTTTGAAGAATGATGATGATATTTTGATGGGAATTGCATTGAAACTTAGATTGCTTTGGGCAGTATTGTCACTTTCATAATATTTATTTTACCCATTCATGAGCATGGGGTATGTTTTCATTTTTTTGTGTTGTCTATGATTTTTGAGACAAGCTCTGGCTCTGTGGTCCTGGCTGGGATGAAGTGATGTGATCATTGCTGTCTGCAACCTCAAACTCCTGAGCTCAAGTGACTCTTCTGCCTTGGCCTGCTAAAGCCCTGGGATTACAGGCATGAGCCACCATACCCAGAACCATAGACCATTGTTCTTTAAGAGAAAAACAAGTTCTCTTGTTTTTCCTTGAGGGTAGCTTCCAGGAGTTCAGATACGACATTAACTAATTACTAGTGACTCCCCTCTACTGAAATGACTATGTGAAAGCAAGCGTGCATGGAGGAAGAAAGGAAAATAAGGACAACAAGTCTCTCATGATTTTCATCATACAAGCTCGGTTATAATCCAGCAGGCAGAATGCACAGTCAATCACCTGCTGACATGGGTGTACAAAAGGCCACCCCCTTACCTCAAAAAGCAACTCTGCAATGCAGTTCACACTCTACTCCTTCTCCCTGAAATTAGACTAAGCTAAATCTACCACGTCTGTTCCAACTAAGCAGCCACTCTCAAGCCACTGACGATCCCTCATCTGTTCTTCTATGTCTATAATTTTCATATCCTGGACATTTTATGTAAATAAAATCATATGGCTTTTTGTTTCTGGCTTTTTTTTTTCACTTAAAATATTAAACATATAATTTTTTTGAGATGGAGTCCCACTCTGTTGCCCAGGCTGGAATGCAGTGGCACAATCTCAGCTCACTGCAACCTCTGCCTCCCAGGTTCAAGCAATTCTCCTGCCTCAGCCTCCTGAGTAGCTGGGACTACAGGTTCAAGCCACCTTGCCCAGCTAATTTTTTGTATTTTCAGTAGAGACAGGTTTCACCATGTTAGCCAGGATGGTCTCGATCTCCTGACCTCACAATCCAACTGCCTCAGCCTCCTAAAGTGCTGGGATTACAGGCCTGAGCCACCGTGCCTGGCCAACATATGTTTTTAAGGTTCATTTATGTTGTAGCATGTATCAGTATTTCTTATTTTGTAGTTTAATAAGATTCCATTTTGTGAAGATATAACAAATTTGTTTATCCTTTCAGCAGTTGATGAACAATTGGGTCATTTCTACTCTTTGAATATTGTCATTTTTTTCTTTCTTTCATTCCTTCTTTTAGTAAAAAGAATTCCAACGCAGTTAAAACCAAACCAAGTACTTCCATAATCCTATGATTACCATTGTACCCTACCATTCCAGTGTCACAGCTACTGCAGTCCTTCACATTCTCTCAGCACTTCCTGCCAGTAAAGCACAGGTGATATTCTTAGTAATTGTGATACTAAGTATGTCATGGGTAATTAGTTCACTTACCAGCAATGGCTCTTTACTGTGATCTGCCCAATAAGAGATTTCGCCTCCCATTATGAGGGTCCAACGTCTATGACTTTCTCTGGAAAAAAAGTTTGTTTCCACCATTTCCCCCCAAATATGAAATGTTTTTTAGTACTCTCTGCCTAGAAGATGAAATGAAGCATTTATCCATTTGCCACCATCCCCAGTTGTTAAAAAGTTATCCTATTGGCATGAAGTCTTCCCAATTTTGGTTTCCAGATGTATGGGTGCTGAGAAGATTTCTGCAGGCGTCTTATTCCACCAGCTCAAAGAAGCCCAGTGCCGGAAAGAGGAAGGTACTGGAAAGATAGATATGAAAAAAAGACACTGTGTACACCTGAATGAAACTAGTGAGAAACTGTCTGGACCTGGTCACCTCAGTAATGGCTGGATGAAGAGGTGGGGCAGAAAGGGTATCATGTGATGCAGAAAAACCTGATATACTGACTTCCTTTCAATTCCTAGTACACACCAAGCTAAGAATTTTCATTTTTGGAGCTTCATGCATGACAAATTCAAAAAACATAAAAAAATATCATAGCAAGTCAGTGAGAATGTTCTAGATTAAAAGAGACTAAAGAAGCATAGAAACAAAATGCATAAAACCTGATTGGATGGATTTAAAAACAGCTAAAAGGACATTCTTTTGGACAATTGGGGAAATTTAAATAGTACTGTAAGTTAGATGTTGATTCCTTTTTTTTTTCGAGATGGAGTTTCGCTGTTGTTACCCAGGCTGGAGTGCAATGGCGTGATCTCGGCTCACCACAACCTCCGTCTCCTGGGTTCAAGCAATTCTCCTGCCTCAGCCTCCTGAGTACCTGAGACTACAGGCACGCACCACCATGTCCAGCTAATTTTTTTGTATTTTTAGTAGAGACTGGGTTTCACCTTGTTGACCAGGATGGTCTCGATCTCTTGACCTCGTGATCCACCCGCCTTGGCCTCCCAAAGTGCTGGGATTATAGGCGTGAGCCACCGCGCCCAGCCAGATGTTGATTCTTAGGTGGTGACAGAGTAGAACTTCTATCAATCTTGTGGATCTGAAGATACAAAAATTGTAGGTTGGTGTTCGCCAAGTGGGAGGGAGAGTTAGGCTTTTAGATGGAGCCCTGAAAGTGATATATCCTAGAGCAGAGGTCCCCAATCTCCAATCTATATAGACCAGCAACAATCCGTGGCCTGTTAGGAATGGAGCCACACAGCAGGAGGTATCACGTAAGCATTACTGCCTGAGTGGCCTCTGTAAGGCCGGTTGCCTTGCTGGGAGTCAAACGGACACATTCATCACTCTCTGTGCCTGATAACTGCGTCATCACCCTAGCTCATTACCTAGCTTCCCCACAAAGCTTCCCTGCACCCGCCTCTGCATACCATGCCCAAGCCCACACTCAGCACTAAATTATCCATCCAACCTCCATCCCGCTGTTAAAAGCCCTGCAGAGAATTTTTTTTTTAAAAGAAGCCCCACCGTTCCCTGCCCAGCAACAGCTGTAGGCCCCCAGCAGGCCCCTGTGCGGAAGGTCCTGCCCACCTACCAATGGCAGCTACTTTATACTTTAACTCCATATACTTCCTGCTCCTCAACAGCCAATAGAAATGCCTTCTCTTTATTTCCCCAGTAGTCAATCAAGGCCCACTTACCCAAGGTCCTGCCTACCAATGGCAGCTACTTCCTACTTTAACTCCATGTACTTCCTGCTCCTCAGCAGCCAATAGAAATGCCTTCTCTTTGTTTCCCCAGTAGTCAATCAAGGCCCACTTACCCAAAGTCCCACCTGCCTACCAATGGCAGCTAGTTTCATGTACTTCCTACTCCTCAACAGCCAGTAAAAATGCCTTCTCTTTGTTTCCCATTAACCAACAAATTGCCTGCACACCCCATAAAACCCCACACCCTGAAAAGCTGGGCATGACTTCTCTGGCCCCTCTTGGACCACTGAGGTTGCCCCGGAGCTGAATAAATTGGCTTCTCACTTTTTTTATACCTGCCTCAGTTTTCTTATTTTACCTCAGCAATCAATCTTACAGCCTCCTGTCAAGTCAGCCCCAGTATGAGATTCTCATAGGAGCACGAACTAAAATTTTACAACCAGAATCTTACATTGTAGGTGCCACAATGTTTAGTTTTACTGCAAATGGTAGCATAACCATAACAATTGCCACTAGGGTGGTGTAGTAAAAAAAAAAATTGTTTAAAACTTTACTCGCCCAAGGTTAAACATTTCCCTTTTTGGGATTTACAGAGTTACAAGTGCAATATCATGTATAATTAAAAATTTCCTGCAAATATGTAATAAAAAGTTTCAATATTTGGTAGCAAATTTTGAGAGGTAAGGGCAGAAATGACAAAAAATATCTGTTTAGGTAAGGTGGGACTGAGTCATATGAGTAACCTTTACTCGGTTACTTAATGTTTATGATTTTTAGCTTAAGATTTTCTATTTTTCCACATTGATATTCTGGTCATATCTCTGAGCTGCTAAGGGTTGCGCCTTCGGCTTTTAGACTTTGACTTCAGTGTGATGTATTTATGAGTTGACTTTTGTAACTTTTGCTGCCAACAGTGTTGAAAGAACAGTGTAGGGACCCTTCACAGCTTGGCTTAAGGAAGGATAGAGAGGAGAGTTTTCACTAATACTAAATTTCCTGGGTTAAATAGAGATCGTTTATTTCCTTGGACTTTTGCTCATTATGTTAACGCCTTGAGGCTTCCTTGCCTCTGACTTAGCTTCCTGATTAGCTAATTTATTTCCTTTGGCTAGCTTATTTATTTTCTTTTGATGTTCCCTACAATGCATCCCTGCTATTTCTTATGGAAGAAAATCTGAGGATAATAACCTGTTAATTTCCTGGTGATACTTTATGGGAGATTCATTAGTGGTAAAAAAAAAATGCCTTTTAAAAACAGCAGCATAAGTATGGAAAGTCAGAAAAGCATACTTGGAGTTAGTATAAGTGTTTTGAACACAGTGACCTCTGCCTCTGGACAGTTCTGTTTCCAGTGTTTTTGTCACAGCTTGGACAGGGATGAGGTTACTTAACTACCTTGCTTTTGCTTAATTTACATGCTGTTGTAAGAGCTATTAGCTCAGCCAATTGAGTGCTTGCGTCTGGGGAGAGTGACTACTGCTGATCCTGCCTTATGTACTTTCTTTACCAGCTGTTTTCTAGCTAAGAGTTCCCTTTAGAGGAAAGTGATCCTGCCACATTATGTGGGCCGTAAACAGTTGAATTATTTTCTAGGGTTAACTTGGAGGCTTTTCTGACTAGTAGAGCTGTGATGACAACACCTTGGAAGCATGTGTAAATAGGTCTTTCTTTTTTTTTTTCCTTTTCTTTTTTTGATTTTTTATTGGATTATAGGTTTTGGGGTACATGAGCAGAGCATGCAAGACAGTTGCGTAGGTACACACATGGCAGTGTGCTTTGCTTTTCTTCTCCCCTTCACCCACATTTGGCATTTCTCCCCAGGCTATCCCTCCCCACCTCCCCCTCCCATTGGCCCTCCCCTTTTCCCCCCAATAGACCCCACTGTTTAGTACTCCCCTTTCTGTGTCCATGTGTTCTCATTTTTCATCACCCACCTATGAGTGAGAATATGCGGTGTTTCATTTTCTGTTCTTGTGTCAGTTTGCTGAGGATGATGTTCTCCAGATTCATCCATGTTCCTACAAACGACACAAACTCATTTCTGATTGCTGCATAATATTCCATGGTGTATATGTGCCACATTTTTCCAATCCAGTCTATTATCAATGGGCATTTGGGTTGATTCCAGGTCTTTGCTATTGTAAACAGTGCTGCAATGAACATTCGTGTACATGTGTCCTTATAGTAGAACGATTTATAGTCTTTTGGATATATACCTAGTAATGGGATTGCTGGGTCAAATGGAATTTCTATTTCTAAGGCCTTGAGGAATCGCCACACTGTCTTCCACAATGGTTGAACTAATTTACACTCCCACCAACAGTGTAGAAGTGTTCCTTTTTCTCCACATCCTCTCCAACATCTGTTGTCTCCAGATTTTTTAATGATCGCCATTCTAACTGGCGTGAGATGGTATCTCAATGTGGTTTTGATTTGCATCTCTCTGATGACCAGTGACGATGAGCATTTTTTCATATGATTGTTGGCCTCATATATGTCTTCTTTCGTAAAGTATCTGTTCATGTCCTTTGCCCACTTTTGAATGGGCTTGTTTGTTTTTTTCCTGTAGATCTGTTTGAGTTCTTTGTAAATTCTGGATATCAGCCCTTTGTCAGATGGGTAGACTGCACAAATTTTTTCCCATTCTGTTGGTTGCTGATCCACTCTAGTGACTGTTTCTTTTGCCATGCAGAAGCTGTGGAGTTTCATTAGGTCCCATTTGTCTATTTTGGCTTTTGTTGCCAATGCTTTTGGTGTTTTGTTCATGAAGTCCTTGCCTACTCCTATGTCCTGGATGGTTTTGCCTAGATTTCCTTCTAGGGTTTTTATGGTGCCAGGTCTTATGTTTAAGTCTTTAATCCATCTGGAGTTAATTTTAGTGTAAGGTGTCAGGAAGAGGTCCAGTTTCTGCTTTCTGCACATGGCTAGCCAGTTTTCCCAACACCATTTGTTAAACATGGAATCCTTGCCCCATTGCTTGTTTTTGTCGGGTTTATCAAAGATTGTATAGTTGGATGAATGTTGTGTTGCCTCCGGTGCCTCTGTTTTGTTCCATTGGTCTATATCTCTGTTTTGGTACCAGTACCATGCTGTTTTGATTACTGTAGCCTTGTAGTATAGTTTGAAATCCGGTAGTGTGATGCCCCCCGCTGTGTTCTTTTTGCTTAGAATTGACTTGGCTATGCGGGCTCTCTTTTGGCTCCATATGAAGTTCATGGTGGTTTTCTCCAGTTCTGTGAAGAAAGTCAATGGTAGCTTGATGGGGATAGCATTGATTCTGTAAATTACTTTGGGCAGTATAGCCATTTTCACGATGTTAATTCTTCCTAACCATGAACATGGAATGTTTCTCCATCTGTTTGTGTCCTCTCTGATTTCGTTGAGCAGTGGTTTGTAGTTCTCCTTGAAGAGGTCCCTTACGTTCCTTGTGAGTTGTATTCCAAGGTATTTTATTCTTTTTGTAGCAATTGCGAATGGCAGTTCGCTCTTGATTTGGCTTTCTTTAAGTCTGTTATTGGTGTAGACGAATGCTTGTGATTTTTGCACATTGATTTTATATCGTGAGACTTTGCTGAAGTTGCTTATCAGTTTCAGGAGTTTTTGGGCTGAGGCGATGGGTCTTCTATGTATACCATCATGTCGTCTGCAAATAGAGACAATTTGGCTTCCACCTTTCCTATCTGAATACCCTTTATTTCTTTTTCTTGCCTGATGGCTCTGGCTAGAACTTCCAGTACTATATTGAATAGGAGTGGTGAGAGAGGGCATCCTTGTCTAGTGCCAGATTTTAAAGGGAATGCTTCCAGTTTTTGCCCATTCAGTATGATATTGGCTGTTGGTTTGTCATAAATAGCTTTTATTACTTTGAGATACGTTCCATCGATACCGAGTTTATTGAGGGTTTTTAGCATAAAGGGCTGTTGAATTTTGTCAAATGCCTTCTCTGCGTCAATTGAGATAATCATGTGGTTTTGGTTTTTGGTTCTGTTTATGTGGTGAATTACGTTGATAGACTTGCGTATGTTGAACCAGCCTTGCATCCCCAGGATGAATCCTACTTGATCATGATGAATAAGTTTTTTGATTTGCTGTTGCAATCGGCTTGCCAATATTTTATTGAATATTTTTGCATCTATGTTCATCATGGGTATTGGCTTGAAGTTTTCTTTTCTTGTTGGGTCTCTGCCGGGTTTTGGTATCAGGATGATGTTGATCTCATAAAATGATTTGGGAAGGATTCCCTCTTTTTGGATTGTTTGAAATAGTTTTAGAAGGAATGGTACCAGCTCCTCCTTGTGTGTCTGGTAGAATTAGGCTGTGAACCCGTCTGGACCTGGGCTTTTTTTGTGTGGTAGGCTGTTAATTGCTGCCTCAACTTCAGACCTTGTTATTGGTCTATTCATAGTTTCAGCTTCCTCCTGGTTTAGGCTTGGGAGGACACAGGAGTCCAGGAATTTATCCATTTCTTCCAGGTTTACTAGTTTATGCGCATAGAGTTGTTTGTAATATTCTCTGATGATGGTTTGAATTTCTGTGGAATCGGTGGTGATTTCTCCTTTATCATTTTTTCTTGCATCTATTTGGTTGTTCTCTCTTTTATTTTTAATCAATCTGGCTAGTGGTCTGTCTATTTTGTTGATCTTTTCAAAAAACCAGCTCTTGGATTTATTGATTTTTTGAAGGGTTTTTCGTGTCTCAATCTCCTTCAGCTCAGCTCTGATCTTAGTTATTTCTTGTCTTCTGCTGGGTTTTGAGTTTTTTTGATCTTGCTCCTCTAGCTCTTTCAATTTTGACGATAGGGTGTCAATTTTGGATCTCTCCATTCTCCTCATATGGGCACTTATTGCTATATACTTTCCTCTAGAGACTGCTTTAAATGTGTCCCAGAGGTTCTGGCACGTTGTGTCTTCGTTCTCATTGGTTTCGAGGAACTTCTTTATTTCTGCCTTCATTTCGTTGTTTACCCAGTCAACATTCAAGAGCCAGTTGTTCAGTTTCCATGAAGCTGTGCGGTTCTGGGTCGGTTTCTGAATTCTGAGTTCTAACTTGATTGCACTATGGTCTGAGAGGCTGTTTGTTATGATTTCAGTTGTTTTGCATTTGTTGAGCAGTGCTTTACTTCCAATTATGTGGTCAGTTTTAGAGTAGGTGTGATGTGGTGCTGAGAAGAATGTGTATTCTGTGGATTTGGGGTGGAGAGTTCTGTAAATGTCTATCAGGTTTGCTTGCTCCAGGACTGAGTTCAAGCCCTGTATATCCTTTTTTATTTTCTGTCTGGTTGATCTGTCTAGTATTGACAGTGGAGTGTTAAAGTCTCCCACTATTATTGTGTGGGAGTCTAAGTCCTTTTGTAAGTCATTAAGAACTTGCCTTATGTATCTGGGTGCTCCTGCATTGGGTCCATATATGTTTAGGATCGTTAGCTCTTCTTGTATTGATCGTTTTACCATTATGTAATGGCCTTCTTTGTCTCTTTTGATCTTTGTTGCTTTAAAGTCTATTTTATCAGAGATGAGAATTGCAACTCCTGCATTTTTTTGCTTTCCATTAGCTTGGTAAATCTCCCTCCATCCCTTTATTTTGAGCCTTTGTGTATCCTTGCATGTGAGATGGGTTTCCTGGATACAGCACACTGATGGGTTTTGGATTTTTATCCAATTTGCCAGTCTGTGTCTTTTGATTGGTGCATTTAGTCCATTTACATTTAGGGTTAAGATTGTTATGTGTGAATTTGATACTGCCATTTTGATGCTAAGTGGCTGTTTTGACTGTTAGTTGTTGTAGATTCTTCATTATGTTGATGCTCTTTAGTATTCAGTGTGATTTTGGAATGGCTGGTACTGGTTGATCCTTTCTATGTGTAGTGCCTCTTTTAGGAGCTCTTGTAAAGCAGGCCTGGTGGTGACAAAATCTCTGAGTACTTGCTTGTTCGCAAAGGATTTTATTTTTCCTTCACTTCTGAAGCTCAGTTTGGCTGGATATGAAATTCTGGGTTGAAAGTTCTTTTCTTTAAGAATGTTGAATATTGGCCCCCACTCTCTTCTGGCTTTTAGTGTTTCTGCCGAGAGATCTGCTGTGAGTCTGATGGGCTTCCCTTTGTGGGTGACCCGACCTTTCTCTCTGGCTGCCCTTAGTATTCTCTCCTTTATTTCAACCCTGTTGAATCTGACGATTATGTGCCTTGGGGTTGCTCTTCTTGCGGAATATCTTTGTGGTGTTCTCTGTATTTCCTGCATTTGAGTGTTGGCCTGTCTTGCTAGGTGGGGGAAATTTTCCTGGATGATGTCCTGAAGAGTATTTTCCAGCTTGGATTCATTCTCTTCGTCACCTTTTGGTACACCTATCAAACGTAGGTTAGGTCTTTTCACATAGTCTCACATTTCTTGGATACTTTGTTCATTCCTTTTTGAGCTTTTTTCTCTGATCTTGGTTTCTCGTTTTATTTCATTGAGTTGGTCTTCGAATTCAGATATTCTTTCTTCTGCTTGGTCAATTCGGCTATTGAAACTTGTGCATGCTTCGCTAAGTTCTCGTATTGTGTTTTTCAGCTCCTTTAATTCATTCATATTCCTCTCTAAGTTATCCATTCTTGTTATCATTTCCTCGAATCTTTTTTCAAATCTTTTTTCAAGGTTCTTAGTTTCTTTGCATTGATTTAATACATGATCTTTTAGCTCACAAAAGTTTCTCATTATCCATCTTCTGAAGTCTAATTCCGTCATTTCGTCACAGTCATTCTCCGTCCAGCTTTGTTCCCTTGCCGGTGAGGAGTTTTGGTTCTTTCTCGGAGGTGAGGTGTTCTGGTTTCGGGTGTTTTCCTCCTTTTTGCTCTGGTTTCTTCCCATCTTTTCGGATTTGTCCGCTGGTCGTTTGCGTGGTTGCTGACTTTTCGATTGGGTCTCTGAGTGGACACCCGGAATGTTGATGATGAAGTATTTCTGTTGCTTGGTTTTCCTTCTACCAGTCTAGCCCCTTTGCTGTACGACTGCTGAGGTCCGCTCCAGACCCTGCTTGTCTGGGGTGCACCTCTAGCAGCTGTGGCACTGCGAGGGATGTTACCAGTTTCTTTTTCTGCTATCTTTGTCCCAGGATGATGCCTGCCTAATGTCAGTCTTTTGGATATAGAGGGTTCAGGGAGCTGCTTGAGGAGACAGTTTGTACTTTATACAGGCTTAATTGCTGAGCTGTGTGCTCTGTTGTTCATTCAGGGCTGTTAGGCTGCTATGTTTGATTCTGCTGCAACAGAGCTCATTAAAACCCCCCCCCTTTTTTTTTTTCTCAAATGCTCTGTGTTGAGGGGTTCGGGCTTTATTTTTGGATGTTCGATGAGGTGTCCTGCCCAGCTAGAAGGCAGACTAGCCACTGTTTGGCTGCCGAGGCTCCGCCCTGCTGTTGTGTGATTCGCCCTGTTCCTGCAGGCTCTGCTGTGGTCTCCGCCATGCCCTGCGGCGGGGTCTCTTCATTGTAGTGTGTTGCCTCAGCAACGGCAGGCTGCGTCAGCAGTGGGCGTGTATCTCAGTAGGGACGGGTTGCCTCGGCAACGGCTGGCTGCGTCAGCAATGGGCGTGTATCTCAGTTGGGGTGGGTTGCCTCGGCAATGGCTGGCTGCATCAGCAGTGGGCGTTTATCTCAGTTGGGGCGGGTTGCCTCGGTAGTGGTGGACGCCCCTCCCCCACAGAGCGTCTCAGACCGTCTGCTCGGGATAGTTTGAAATCGCGGTTTTCTTCGTCCCACTGGGTATCCTAAACGATCTGTCCCTGCAATTCCCTGGGCTGGGCTACTGTCCAAGTCTTGTTCAGTCTCAAGTCCAGCCCTCTAAAGTCTCAGGTTGCCGGTTCAACAGGGCACCCGGACACGCGTGCCCTGTGGGGATTGCTGGGTAGGGCCGGCCGCCACCGCCCCGGCTGCCGGCTTCGCCAGGCAGACCTACTGCCTGGCGTCCCGTGTCTTTTTATACTTGGGAGTTTCCCCGTTCTGTGGGCAACAAAGATCAGTCTGTAAATGCAGCTTTGACTCACCGTTGCGGATTCAATGCGAGCTCCAATCCTGGGTTGTTCTCACCGTAAATAGGTCTTTCTAACTACAAGTAAGGTTGAGAAAAATATAGGATTAGAATCTTCACTGAAATGTCCCTTTCTAAACTTCTCCTTCAGGATGAGCTGTTCCTCCACTGAATTAGGGAATAAGGAAATGTGCTCTATTAGTGCCTCTCTTAGTCTTTCGATAAAGGCTATAGAATTCTTACATGGCTTTTGGTTCATTACAGACAGTTTAACTGCGAAGTTTGGCCCTGGTTTTCCATAGGACTTTTAAAATGTGTTTAAAAGTTGGTTTCTTTTCCATTCATTTCCAGAGCAACTGTGGTTTTAGTTAGGGCTGTTTACTGGAACTGCTTCCCTCTCTATCGGGAATGGTGTTTTTGGTTATTTCTTTTACTTTCCCTTTCTGCCTTTTTCCCTTTTGGTGTATTATAAGAGATAATCTCATCTCAAAATTGTCTGCTGCTTGCAGAACTACCTGCTTTTTAGCTGCGGGTTTGGTTTACATGCAGCATTACATCCCACCATGTGAGGTTAAACACCTCATTAAATATTGGAAAGCTTCTTTATACCTATTAGGGTTTTTAGAAAATTGGCCTAAGATTCCCTCTATTTGCCTAAGGTATTGTAATGAGAAGGGAATGTGAGGGGAGCCCAAATAAGGGGGATCCTCAGATGGTTCCCCTGAACGTTTCTTTTCTTAATTATGCAGAACTGTTTTTCCTGGGCTTTCCTGATATGATTGCTAAAAGAGCTGGATTGATCTTACACCACTTACAAAGGTTTAGTAAAAATGCCACACCCCTACGCAAAAGAAAATGAGTTACTTTTCTCCATAAAATTTTCAGTTTAAGGAAGTTTCAGTGTTTCAGAGTGCACTGCAGAGGGGTACAAGCAGAGGATAATTTATTACAGATTTAGATAATGTAGTGAAAATAAAAGCATCCTCTTAGCCTCCTTCCTTTTCTTATGACCCAGAGTGGAGGAGAAGACAAGGAGCATCCTCTGAATACTTTCCCTCCCTGGTTTCCAGATCTCAGCACCACATTAAATGTGCCCCCCATGGTTGTAGGCATGGTTCTCCAAGCCATGGGACTGGATGAACTAAGTGATGGGGCTAATCATGCTCATCTATGCAATTTTGTTTTATTTATTTATTTTTTTACTTTAGGTGCACACTATATCTGGCATTTCTCCCCATGTTATCCCTCCCCACCCTCTCCACCCCCTGCTGTATCTCCCCTACCTCCCCAACTGCCCCCAGTGTGTGATGCTCCTCTCCCTAAGTAGTTTTAGCTTATCCACGTGGTGTGATTTACTTTGGTTTTCTAAACACGTGTGATTTGCCTGGCTCCCAGAAAAAAGGATCTTTGGAGAGACCGTGTCACCTTTGCACAATACCTCTTTAATGAAGACAATGTGCTAGATTGCCTGCTACTACAATGCATGCTAATGCACTTACCCTTAAAAAAACACATATGGTTAACTTCCAAACTTAAAATACCCTTACTAATTCAGTACTGTCTTAATTAAAGACAGAAGAGGTGCCTTAAAAGAAGGTAGAAACCACATGGCTGGTTTCCTACGGACAAAACAATATCAGAACTAAAATCTGGTTGTGGAAGACATCTTACTCCTAACTGTTGAAAGCAAAGCTTTCCCCTCCCAGAAGTGGCAGTAGAAAAGCACAAAATGAAAAAGTTGTGAACCTGTAATCCACCACAGAGAACCAACAATGTGTCTTATGAACAGGATTTTTATTTCCGCTAGGTGGTGGCGTTGGCTTAGAAATACCATGTGCTTACCAGAAAACCCATAGAGACAAGTTTATTGAGTTACTGCCTGTCTTAATTGTGACCTTATCTAAGAGACCTGTTTCTCTGAACTGTAAAGATTCCTGCACATTAGACACACACAGAGAGTGTAAGTGACCACGGAAAGAGAGAGAAAAAACATTTGGCAACAGGATAGCTGGAAGAAACCCTTGAAATTAAAGGGCAAATCTAAAGTTGAAATTCACTCCATACCCACCAGTTTGATGAAGAAATTTCCCATTCCTGGCCAAAACACCAAAATGATAGGGCTTCAATGACTGAAGGAACACCAGTGTCCTTGGTCTCATGCTAATAGGATTAATGCCACTAACACACATGGAGTAATTTTAAGGAACAAAATATTTAACAGGCAAGAAAGAAGAAAGGAAGAAGAAAACAGCTCCCTTGTATAGAGGAGTGGGGAATTCAAACAAAGAAAACCCCATGTGCAGGAAAAGTGGCTGCTTATACTTGGATTCTGGAGGAGTCAGTGTCTGGTTTCCATAGAATTCAGCAGACTGGTTTGACCAGGTGTATTATTTATGCAGCCCATGAAAAACCTGACCTTAACACATGGTGTTATCTGGAGGTGGCCACGATGCTTGGTACACCTGGTGACAAAAAACAAGACAACAGGAATAGCCATATTAAGTAAGCCCCATTTCTAATGGTCAGCAACTGCATATCAGTTTGTTGGCCGGGCCCTGCAAGTTGCCTTTTCTGTTAGAAAACAAATGGTTTGGGATTTGCTTCTTATGACAGAAGAATTTTCACCAAGAAATTTTACGCTTACTATCTGCCTAAATACTATTTCTTAATAACTCCTATTTCAGAAGGATAAGAAATAGTGTCCATGCAGGTCATAAGAATAAAAAACCAGAGCCAATTCCATGATATGTGATACCTAAGAACGGCTTTGGAAGTGCCTATTTTACTGTGGCCAATGTTTGACCTCCTTTAAAAACTGCAGTATCATTACAGTGTGGTGCTGACTTAAGGAGAGATAATAGAGAGTCTAGAAACAGAGTCACCTGAGAGTCTGCAATAAGCTAAGACCATCGCATTGGAAAACGACAGTCTTTTCAACACATGATGCTAGGGAAACTGGACCTCCACATACTGGTGCCTTACCTTCTAACATATACAAAAGTGAACTCAAAATGTATCAAAGAATAAACCTAAGTCCTTCAATGATAAAAGTCTTAGGAGAGACACAGACAGATATCGTCATGACACGAGGTTTGGCAATGATTTCTGGAACATGGGCTGTAAATACAGATGAAATGCACTTTATCTGTTTTTATTATTGATATTTGGGCTCTTGGCTTTATACTCATAGTTATTAAAACATTAAAAAACTCTCAAGAAGTCCATGATGCTGACATAAATAATACCATAAGTTATTTCTGGATGCTAATGAATGCTGTCTAATGAGTATGTCAGAAAGATGTGATAAGAAAGACATTCATTTATTAAGAAAGCAGTTATCAAGACACTCAGCACAGATTCACAACTGCCTAACTTCAGGGAATTGGTAGGCAATAAGAATAGCTGCCTTAATGATTGTTCTATGAAAGCAGAACCATAAATCTTTTGAGTAGGTTTGATGGGAAGAGGAGGGGAAAACAGACCAAGTGCACTTTGTCAAAATTCATCACATCTGTTCACCAAAGACCACTGTAAAAAGAGTAAACAGTCAATTGACAGAATGGAAGATAAGGTGCAAATCACGTATCTGAAAGGTGATTATCTAGAAGAGGGGTCCCCAGGCCACAGATAAATACCACTCCTGGCCTCTTAGAAAACGGGCTACATCCAGAAGGAGATGAGCAGTGGGCAGCCAAGCAAAGCATCATCTGTATTTACACCTATATCCCATCCCTCACATTTCTGCCTGAGCTCTCCCTCCCGCCAAATCAGTGGTGGCATTAGATTCTCAAAGGAGCGTGAACCCTATTGCAAACTGGTTGTGTGAGGGATCCAGGTTGTTTGCACCTTATGAGAGTCTATCTAGTGCCTGATGATCTGAGGTGGAACAGTTTCATCCAGAAACCACTACCCCAACCCCCACCACATACACATCCCTGGTTCATAAAAAAACTGTCATCCACAAGACCATGCTCTGGTGCCAGAAGGGTTGGGGACCACTGATCAAGAACATATAGAGACCTTCAACAACCCAATAGCAATGACAAAAATATCCCACCCAGTTTAACAATGGCCAAAGAACGTCAAAAGATATGTCTCCAAAATAGATATAAAAATGGCCAATGAGCACATGAAATGACACTCAACATCACAAGTTCTTAGGGAATGCAAAGTCAGAGCCACAGTGAGATACCACTTCATGCTTATTAGGGTGGCTATGATGTTTAAATGCAAAATGACAAGTGTTGGGAGCATGTGGAGAAACTGGAGGCCTTGGACACTTCTGCTGGGCATGGAAAATGGCATAGCCACTGTGGAAAATATCATGGCAATTCCTCAAAAAGTTTACCATATGATTCAGAAATACCACTTCTGGGTGAACACCCTAAAGTGCTGAAGGAAGAGCATGGTACAGATGTTTGTACAGTGATGTCCATAGCATTGCTCATTATTCATTACAAGCAAAAGATGGAAAGAACACAAAAGTACATCTAAGGAGGTACCTCCAATGGAAGAGTATTAGCTTTAAAAGTGGATGCCTCTCTGATACTTGCTATCACATGAATGAGTCCTTAAAGTACACTGAATGAAATAAGCTTGACTCCCCAGGAGGTTACAGGTACAGGCTGGAGATGGAAGGTAATGGGGCAGGGATAGGGGCTATAAACATTTGGACCCTTCTTCCAGCAGCTTTCTTCTGCCTTCAGGGCCTGCTTAAGCCTCATGTCACTTAGATCATCTCTAGTTGGTAATGGACAGCTGCTGTACTTGCCAAGCCTTTTGGCTGGGTGCATAAAACACAACCTGGCTCTTGTCCCACAGCCAGGTCTCATAGTAAATTAGACGCCATGGTTAAGCATTCACTCTACTAAGGCCCAGTAGACAGAGAAAGGCTTTTTCTCAAAAGCAGAGTAGTTATCCCTGAGGATGGCATGGCCTTGCTCTAAAACCTCCAGGGTCTGTGCTGTCATTCATGTATAGTCCTTCAAACTTCCTGCCAAAGTTTCTAAGAGCATCTCTATTTGCCACTGACACTTCAAACACCATTGCACCTGCTGAGCTCCAGGCCAAAGAAATGT